ACGGTTGTGTCCATTTTGGCCATGGATCACTCTTGGTTTCATAAGTGTTTAGAGAATTTTAGCCTCGAACAATTCTCATTGAAGCGGCCCCACTTCACACTTACATAGGTGAGCTCCTATTAAGAGTATTCTTCCCTACTCCACTTAACTTAATCAATATTTAAGAATCATTAAAGAGTATCTTAACCTTTAATCATTATGCAGAAAGCACTTTAAAATCATACGAATGAGTTAGGAAATAATTTCCTAAGTGCTTCAATGAATTTTCATAACTTAGTTGTCTCTTTGAACCAAAATCTTGGGATCTCCAGTCAACAAGGTATAGTTATCATTACAAAGATTCTTACGTAGCAGGCTTTAATCACATTCCTTTCGATAGGCAACGTATTTGATCTCTAGGCAAACCATTTGTAACTGGATCCGCAATATTCTCCTTTGATTTCACATAATTTATGGAGATGATGTCATTAGAGATTAGTTGCTTAATGGTATTATGTCTGCTACGTATATGTCTAGAATTACCATTATACATGCTGATTTGAGCCCATCCAATAGTCGATTGACTATCACAATGTATACAAATCCCAGGTACCGGCTTAGGCCAACAGAGAATATCTTCTAGAAAGTTATGAAGCCATTCTGCTTCTTCTCCAGCTTTGTCCAAAACAATAAACTATGATTCTATTGTTGATCGAGCTATACACGTTTGCTTTGTAGATTTTCATGATACAACAGCTCCACCAACGGTAAATATATAACCACTAGTAGACGTGGAATCCTTTATGTTGGATATCCAATTTGCATCACAATATCCTTCCAATATCGCAGGATATTTTGTGAAATGTAATCCATAGGTTAAGGTATACATCAAGTACCTAAGAACCCTTGTTAAAGTCTTCCAATGATCATGGCTTGGATTACTTGTGAATCTACTAAGTTTATTCATAGCATATGCTATATCCGGTTGAGTGCAATTTGTAATATACATCAGACTGCCATAACATGTGAATACTTTAGTTGTGTCGTGTGACACACCCCACCAATGGAACAAATGACGACCTTCAAAAACAGCTTTAATTTACCTAGAAAAACAAAGTGTGAACTATCCTAAAGTATTCAGTATTTCATACACCATTCTATATAACAATGAAATCTTACCTTTCCCGTTAAAAGAAGCTAAAGGAGGCACTCAGGTATTGGATATCCAATTCGTATCACAATACCCTTCCAATACCGTAGGATATTTTGTGAAATGTAATCCATAGGTTAAGGTATACGTCAAGTACCTAAGAACCCTTGTTTTTAACCTTCCAATGATCATGACTTGGATTACTTGTGAATGTACTAAGTTTATTCACATCATATGCTATATCTGGTTGAGTGTAGTTTGTAATATACATTAGACTGCCTATAACCTGTGAATACTTTAGTTGTGACACACAATTACCTGTATTTTTGACTAAGTGTAAACTTGGGGTCAATAGGGGTTTTCGCATGTCTTTATCTCTAGTATCACATTAGCATCACCCATACCTTTCATATCAAAATACTTCATTAGCATTCTCTTGGTGTTTAGCATTAGTTCGTGACTATTTGTCATTATCAACATGTCGTCTACATATAGACACACAATCACAGGGATTTGGTGTATGTTTTATATATACATACTTATCACACTTGTTTATCTTGAATCCGTTTGACAACATTGTTTTGTCAAACTTTGGGTGACATTGTTTAGGAGCTTGTTTCAATCCATACAAGGACTTAACGAGTTTACAAACCTCGTGTTTGTTATTAGGAAAGACGAACCCTTCAGGGTTGTTCCATGTATATCTCCCCTTCTAACTCACCATTCAAAAATGACGTTTTCACACTTATTTGATGAATCTCAATGTTGTGTATTGCTGCAATTGCAATTAACAACCTCATCGAAGCGATTTTAGTCACGGGTGAGTAGGTATCAAAGAAGTCAAGTCCTTCTTTTTGCCTATATCATTTGACAACCAATCTAGCCTTATATTTATCAATTGGTCCATTTGGTTTAAATTTCTTCTTAAAAATCCATTTACACCCTAATAGCTTATTTTTGGGGGTAAATCAACCAATGTCCAAGTATGGTTTTGCATTATTGAATTTATCTCACTATTGATAGCTTCTTTTCAGTGCGGTGCTTTCGGTGTGACATGGCTTCATCGAAAGTCTTTGGATCATTTTCTACCATATATGTTAGAAAATCTGGGTCAAACGAAGTTGATATTCTTGCCCTTTTACTACGCATTGGTTCTTCCACATTTGATAATTTACAATATCATAAGTTTTCTTATTTAAACTTGCACTTTCCTTTTCCTTACAAGGAAACACATTTTCGAAGAATGATGCATTTCTCGATTTAATTATGGTTCCCTCATGTACATCTTGAATTTCAGCTTTGCGTATAAGGAATCGATATGCACTACTATTATTAGTGTATCCAATAAATATGCAATCAATCGTTTTGGGACCAATCTTTACTTGCTTAGGATTAGGGATTTCAACCTTAACCAAACACCCCCACACTTTCAAGTGTTGGTAGAAAGGAGGATGACATTTCCATAATTCATATGGAGTCTTCCATTTTCTTAAGATGTATCCTATTAAGAATACTATTTGCCGTTAAAACAGTTTCCCCACAAGTTTCGAGGCAACCCTGAACTCAATAACATGGCGTTCATAATTTCCTTAAGTGTTCGATTTTTGCGTTCAACAACACCATTAGATTGATGAGAATATGATGCCGTTGTTTGATGAATAATTCCATGTTCGGA